CAATGATTGGTTCCATCGTACGGAAAAATGTGTCAAATTTCGCGGAGAATACTTCGAAAAGCAATAAGTACATTTTTAAATAGTAATGTTGTGTCACTTCCTTGATTCCCGAAATTTTCAGTGCCGCCCTCGTAGTTATAAGCTTATATGTATTTTGACATATCAATATTCCATTCATAGACTTAGCTTATACTTGCATAATTCCATTGTACTTTTGACATTATTATTTACTAGCTGTGCCCGCGGCGTAGCTCGCGTATACAGGTTTTACATAAACAATTTGTCGTTTAGGTAAGAGAATATTAAACGATTTATTTCATTACTGTATCAATAAGTGGTAACTAAATAAATCATTATCATCAAAGTTCTAAGTCGTTTATGATAGAGCTTCTGTGTAAACGACGTGAGAAGTAGGCTTAGCCGGGGTGTACACTAAAAGGTTACGGGGGCTACTAACGCGGGAAAAAGCAACATAGAGTTGGCCATGTGCAAAACAGTCAGTACTGAGGTACACTCCTACAACGCGTAAAGTTTGACCTTGCGCTTTATTTACGGTCATCGCATAACACACGCTCACTGTAACTGGGAACTGAACGCGCTTAAAACTCAAAGGAAAGTTACTTCTTAATAGAGGGTTTTTGGGCAGTGCTGCCAGATAAAAAAAACTAATTCAGCTCTAGGACAACACAAAAAGCGCTAGATTTCATGAAAACAGCGCTTTAAAAAAGCCCTAGATTTCGCGCTAAATTAACTACAAACAAAGTTTGTGTTTTTTTATATAATCATAATAAAGAAAACAACATTAAGTTTTTTTTCTGGCAATATTTTTTTGATGTATCAATACTTCGCAGGACATCGACTTATAATTATGGCAATTGCTGTCAACAGTAGTTAGTACTGTACGAACAATAAAAATGTCATTAATTGTTTTAAAGTGCAATGTATTTCGCAGCTTAGTTTCAGATGTCAGCATCTGATTGCGGTTGCTACACAGTTTCTTTGTGTTATAACTTCTAAGTAACTTTTAACTTAGCTGTGCTCTAAGCAACTGACTGAAACTGAATAAAGCAAAATAAATGCGTTGCTAAAACCATGAACAAAAACTTTAATAAAGGGGTTTCCCCGCTTATAGTCGTCGGTAAAAAAATCAAGTTGATCATCCTAAAGGGGAAGCCAGGAGATCCATAGCACAGGGTATCCTAGTTTGGACTCGTCTCCCATGCTCTTTGTTTTGTGGAAAAAATATGTTTGAAAAAGATAAACTGCAATGTACTATTTGTGGGAAAAAATAATAAAGGTCATTATTATTATTATCGGTAATGTGGACTAACAGTGCTGCTATAAAAGAGTTAACAACCCGCTAGTCGCTAAAATATTGAAATGTGTGCTAAATACACCAAAAAGCGCTGGATTAAGCTAGGGCTAAAATTTCGAAATGCGCGCTATACATTCCAAAAAAGCGCTAAATCTAGTTCCCAAAGCGCTAAAGTGGCAGTACTGATTTTGCGTATATTATAAATACAATATCACGACTTTTCGTTGCAAAATTTTTATTTTTGGTCGGATTCCGTTGTATGGCTGCGATGGATACAAATTTCTTCAGTAAGTCTCAATACGATTCATCGGCGAAAAATCTCAACACAGCAATTCAGAAAAGTTTGTAATTTGTACAACTCCATCTATTACGTCCTTTGTGTGAGAAAACATCCTTTTTAAATCTCTTTTTGTGTTTTAAGTATAAATATATTAATTATTATGGAACGTTTTTTTTTTACACACAAATCTTTTTATTACTATTTCTGAGATTTTATGGCGCCATTGAACAAATTCGAACCTACATTTCAAAATAATAATCATTACTTTCGATAGAATTAACCTATTTTAATAAAACAAAGATTAAATGTAACTCGAAGATACGCTTTATGATTTTCTTAACGATTTCTTTGAAAATAAAAGATGTTTACTTTAGACGTGATGCGTTCATATAATAACAGACAAATGGACATACAGACAATTCTAAAAATTCTAAAATGTTCTTATTTAATTATTTTCAGTTCCCCATAATTATTTTAGCCACCAAAATATATACCTATACAATGTACAGAAAGAGACACAATATGTTATCATCATTTTTATTATATGTATATATTTGAAGAGAGATGGCGCTGCTAACATCAATTCTAAAAATAAAAGAGATTAATTGACGCGATTGATACATTATATAAAACGCAAGAGTACTTATAAATCAGTGCCTGCACAGTAAGCAAAAAATAAAGTTTGACTCTCGCCAAAACCAACGATTTGTTAATAGCTCTTTTAAAATTTGATTTACCACATAGAGTACTCGGCGGTAAAGAATAAATTGAGTTTATCAACACGCAGTAGGGCAGCGAGTAATATAATAAAGATTAGCAGTAAATATGAAAACTCATCTACAGGAAAAAAAAAACATTGCAATTGCATTACATTTTCACAACACCACCATCTATCGAAGAAATGGGAAAACTATTGTGCTTCAGATTTAGTTAATAAGGTTAATATATTTTTGTATAATATATTTAATACGTTTTTTAATACTTTTGTTTACTGCGTTTTAGATATACATAATTATATCATTATTTTACATAATTTAACTATGATTTATGATATGATATTAGTTTAAAATGCACCTGATGACTCAAACAAAGCCACCGTTGAGCAAATTCGTACCTATACTTCCCTACCCATACTTCAGAATATTTATCATAACTTTTGATGGAATGAACTGATTTTAATGAAATAAAGACTAAATGTAACCCGAAGATACACTTTAAATTTCCTTAACAATTCTTATGATATAAATTAGTACTTTATACGTGATACGTTAACAAACAAACAGACAGACAGACAGACAGACAGACAGAAAATTCTAAAAATGGTAGAAATGTATTTAATTACTTATTTTTAGTACCCCTCAATCACTTTTATTACAAAAATATAAAATGTACAGACATCTGCTATTTACAGTTTTATTATATGTATAGATTATCCACGTTTGTTGAAATATTTCATTGTATGACATTATGCTTTATTATCCGTCTTATTTGATTTGATTTAATGAATAATGAGATAATGTTTTAAGTTCCATGATTTTAATAATATTGTAAGCCTTATCTAGGCAGGTTCTGGTGATACTTAATTATTTTTATAGTGTTAAATCTCTTAAACCTACAACTAGCACAATAAATGACTTATTATATTCTATTCTACAGAGTGATTGATGGACCAGGACCAGATGTAACGGCCTTACTAATACCTAGTGTTTTAAGAAATTTTCACACGTCGGCGATCGTAGAGTTTGTAATATTATAATGGATAAAACGGCGTTCAGCATTTTGTACCATCTGATTTCATTCTGTTTTTTAGCAATTTGTAGCAATTCCAGCTCTATTGAGTACGAATACGATGCTTCTTAAATTTTACAAATCCTCGATTTCGCCTGGTCATTGCCACACTTACGGCTCTAGTCATCCACGGAGCTGCTGGACGCTTTAAGCGTCTCCCACACACAAGCGGCTTGCGGTAGCGGCTAACCGCGGGCCGCGGCTGCAGCCGCTGTAACAACACACCACCGCGGCCCAAGTGGCGGCCTGAAGCGCCATTCGCAGTGGTGTCTGTGCTACGATCGGACGTCAGTAAACATGACAAACCGTGACAAAGTCTTATTATATTCAGCAATATTATCATATATTTTGTTTTTAATCCTACTGCTTTTGTGATCACGATGCGAATTATCATAAAGTACTAGATAATTTTGCACTGTTACTATTAAAACCACCATTTTTCACGCGGTACACGCGGCCTGTTGTAAAAAATTACAACTGACCGCGGTGCGGCCATTGACTGATCGCGTACTCGCTAACACACACGCGTTGGCCGTCAGTTGTTACAGCGGCTGCAGCCGCGGCCCGTGGTTAGCCGCTACCGCAAGCCGCTTGTGTGTGGGAGACGCTTAACTCTTACCTAATGTTTAGAAGCATGATTGTTGTACAGATTAAGAACTACATTATTAAGGATGAAGAATGGAGAAAAAATGCTTATATATAAACTACTCGAAGTTCAAGATTACTGACTGGCAGTATAACCTATTGCATGCCGAGCGCAACGCGCATAGGTATGTTCTACTAGCGCCTAAAAATCAAGATTCCAACGTTTTGTCGCATGAAATCGTATCTAGCAATCATATTATACATACAAATGATATAAAAAGCACATTGTCAGACAGATAAATGATTGTTGAACTTATTAATATTTTTTTTAAATCGATTAATTGCTATTTTTACATAAAAAGGGGTTTTAGTGGCTTATGATGTAGATTTCTTAAGTCCGTATGACTTTGTAAACACGATAACTTTTGAAAATATAAATTGTTCAACTCAATCTATTTTTAAAACTCTTCATCTATCATGTGGGAATCCATTGAATGTAAATGGCAGTTTAGTTTTCTTTTGTTTAGTTATAATTAATTTTTTTCGGCTGCTAAATGTCGAAATTTTCGGTGTTTTCGCAGCCTTGTGTTAGAATTTCTTTCAGTAAATAGAGACTACCTGTGCCTCACTTGCTTAGTTCGGCGCATAGATTACTGCATGGTTCGGCGTCAACCGCCGTTGTGAGTGGAAGAAGTTTTACTCAAACTTAGTAAACAGAACAAGTCTGTTGTAATGTGTGGAGACTTTAATATCAATCTCCTTGAAACTTCTTCCATTAGTATTAAGTTTCGCTCATTGTTTAAAACGTATAATCTTGTAAATTTATTCTTAGAACCAACACGTATTGCTGGGCCTAGTGCGACCTGTATAGATAACATTTTTACTGATGTTAAGCCCTTGCATAAATCAATTATTCAAAATTTAAGTTCAGATCACTGTGGACAGTTAGTATCAGTACCTTACATACTGTACCGGTTGTTTGCAGCGGCTCAAAAAGATCGTTGTACAAATAAATACAAAATATTTTTTTTTGTAAGATTTTTATTACAATATTTTAAAAGCACAGAATAAATAATATTAGTACGTACTAAAAGTAAGTAGGATGTAATATTTATACTTGAATACGTCTTGGACTTTTTGGAGTGACATGAATGATGATATGATGATCATAATATGAGCATTATGAGTCGTGCTCTTTGGATTTTCCAAACTTTTTCAAATTGAAGTTTGACATAAAATTATCGGAAAATTGGAAGTATACTTAATAAGGTTATTAGTGAAAACTTGTGTGTATTTAAACTACTTTAAAAAAATTCCGTATAATCATGCTATACGTAATTTTTTTTAATGCGAAGATATGCTCAATTGGATTTACCAATAGTTTATTTCATATATTTCTGGATGGAAAACACTCACTAAGACTAATGAAATCCGGTATCCGGTAATCCGACCGCAATTCCCTTGGCTAAAGCAAACGCAAACATGACTAAAAAAAAGTTAAGTAAAAGTTACAGCCTATATACGTCCCACTGCTGGGCACAAGCCTCCTCTCATTTCTGGGAGGGTTATAGGGCAAGGACATGTCCGCCGCGCTGTCCCAATGCGTGTTGGCGAACTTCACATGTCTTCGAAATACTTTTTTTTTTATTTCTCAGACATGCAGGTTTCTGCACGATGTTTTCCTTCACCAACAAACGTGACTATTAGGGTAAAGATTCCTCATAATATGAGAGGTCCACATACCAGTAGTGGAATATTACAGGCTAATGAAAAAGAGAGTACAGTAACAAAATGTAGCACTCACCCAATGTGGTATAACTCCTCTATCTGGTAGTAAAATGTTTTATGTATAAGAGAATGTATAACAATAACAAAAAAAAAACTTATTCTGGGTAAATAATTTATTTGATTTTATTCATTTATACTCCAAAATTCTTTAGGCCATATATATAAAAGTGTTAATATCTTCGTCGTCCCGCCGCATGTACTTATGTTCAATGAGCCATTCTAACTGCTCTTTGATCATCTTTTTAGAAGGCAAGAACATATTCTTCAAAATTTCAACGAGTTCACTCTGAAAAATAAAAAACTTCATAAGTATATACAATATAATAATATGTGATGTGGAAGGAAACATTCAAGCACTCTACAATTCCTTTCATTGGTGTGGTATTGTATGGTATATATGATAAGGGCCAACCACTCAACTCTAAATTTTGCTGCATTTTAATTTTGCCTTGATCTAATTTGTTGAGCCCAATATAGTAACACTTTTCTGATTCTAATGCAGTCATAACATTTTGATGTATAATTATAATATACTGTGTGGCATGGCATTTTTAGTGGTGGCAACATAATAATCTTCATAGCCTTTGTTTGTAGGTTGCAGATATCTATGAGTTACAGTAGCAACATATCAACAGGTGGACTGCTAGCCTGTTTGCCAATAATGGTAATTATATTTTTTTTTTTAAAAAATAAGAATAATGTATGAACATAAAATTACAAGTAAATATACCAATGCTGGTGCCGATTTAGTAATTTCTCAATGTAATAGTCTCTAATGGTGAGTAACTATTGTGACCATAAATTAAGTTTAGATTTAAAGCGGGTCTCTTTAGAGCATTTACTAAGGTCTAAGTCAACGAAAGGTAAAAGTAGTAATTTTTTAAATAAATATTTAAAATATGTGTGGATATGTATGTCATAAAAGTAAGGTTGCAGCCTATTTACGTCCCACTGCTGTGCACAGGCCTCCTCTCATTTCTGAGAGGGTTTTAGGGCAAGGAAATGTCCGCTGCGCTGCCCCAATGCGTGTTGGCGAACTTCACGTCTTCGAAATATATTTTTTTCTTATTTCTCAGATGTGCAGGTTTCCTCACGATGTTTTCCTTCACCGCCGAGCACGTGGTAAATCAGCACTTAAAATTGCAATTAACAATTTCATTGGTACCAGTGGGGATCGAACCCGGTTTGCTCGAGTACTGTGAAGCTTACAGCGAGCGCTAACCATCTGAGCTACCACGGCTCTTATGTATGTCATATTCACAAGAAACTGATTTACTTCATACTGCATTGTAAAGAAATAAAAGCCCATAACTGAAAATTTTCAAAAATATTTCAAATCTACTAGATTCTAATGACATTACCTGTAAAGCAGTATTGGTAATCCGTTTCCTCATCTTTAATATTTTTATGATTGCTTCTTGAGTTCTTAAAATACGAAGCTGAACAATTGAATGATTGTCTTCTAACTGAGAACGCTCAGTACTTAGTTGAAGCCTACCAATCAAATTTATTTTTCCTCTTCTTTGTGGTTTACCATTCTTTATAAGTGCAAATTCTTGATTAACCCAGAAAGCTGTGTTTTCTGCAAAATCCTTAGGATTTTGAACTACAGGCTCATAGCACAATAGTTGCCGTTTTAGTTTAGGAAAAGCAACAAGAGACCATAATGTCCTTCTTAATTCAGGGTCTGGTAGTTCAGTTGCAAGTCTTAAATTCTCATAAGTTACTCTTTCCAATGGTCTTTGGTTCCAAGCGAACAAAACAGCCATTTGAAAAGTTGTAACATCCAAATCAAACCTTCCAACTGAATTGGCAAATGTGATTGTACCATTGCTCATATGATGGTACCACTGTAATTTTCGGCCTGAGTGCTTTTTTTTATAAAATTCTTCAACCTCTGGTATATAGTCTTCCAATTCTAAAGGAAGACTTACAGTTACTCTTTCGGAGCCACGAGCCCATGCCCCGGCATTGAGTATCTTTATGTTTATAGCGTCATGGCGTGTTGTCTCACCTCTAAATTGAATATTGAGATCTTCACTAACTTTAATATCTTGAAACATACGAGCTAGTTTATTTACATAATCAGCTGGCATACCCACTTCACGCAACCACTCAACCATGTCTTCCTCCTTTTCTGAATCAGCACTTGAGTCCAATATTAACCTTCTTGTCAAATGTGCTTTATGATATCGCATAAACACATCTTTATTTTCAATATATTTCAAAACCAAAAGTACATCTTTTAGCCTTGACTCTATTTGCTCACTAGTTAACCGTTTACTTAAGGGTGTTTTCCGTAATAACATATCACAGTAATTTGCAAGAAGTTCAGGACACTTACTTTCAGGTGCAGTACCCTTACTACCACGAATGAGAGCAGAGGATGGTAACTCTAATTTGAAAACTGTAGTATCATTAACAACACACTTATATGCCTTGTCTCTGGCAGTAAGAAATCTAGGATCATCCAAAAATGCATCTTTCACCAAGGTACTGAATCTTTTAAACAAATCTAGCAAACGCTCCACATACTTTTCTGAATCAGTTGTGATAATATCTGCAGAGGCAACCATGTCTGCCAAGCCCGCTGACACTATATGTGCTTCTAGGTCTCTTAATATGGGTGTTACTCCTTCTGGCACCCTATCTAGCAGACGGAACATAAGCTGTAGCTTTTCTGTCTCCCCGGCTTTAATTAAAGGTGCACTCTCAGCCAGCAATGTAGGCAGATGTTCTCCAATAAGAACTTTTTCACAGCACTGAGTTAGAGCAGCTACACTCCCACTCCCTGGTTCCAGGTATCTGTGAGCACGAGCCTCCTCTTCTTTTAGTCGTTGGTCAGCATACTTCATGTAGGATTGTACTCCATTTGCTAACAAATGCTCATTAGCTTTATACTTATAAAACTCTTCAGTAGCTTGCATATAAGCTGCTTCAAAGTTTTCTCTATATATTTGGAGTTTATCAATTGAATTTGAGCATAAATTAACTGTAAAAACAATAAAACTGTGTAAATGTTACTGCACTAATATTGCAGTAAAATATCAAATTTATGTTGATTGAAAAATTGTGTTGGTAACCACTAACCTATACATGGTGTAACTTGAGGGGTGGATCATCGGTAGCTGGGGGGGTGAAGAATCTCAATACCTATCGATTTAACCCAACCCAACCTTTTTGGTTCAAAAGTTATTTGGACTTTAGTAAAAATTTTGTCAAAATCTGATTTTAGCCTAAACTTTGCAATTGCAGCCAAACTATTAGGTCTGCCGCTGTGATTTTTTTCAAACTAGATAAACAGACCTTTGTACCTTTACACCAAATGGATGCTTAAAAAATAATATGTGAAATATTTCTTTTAGAAACGTAGTATGGTTCTAAAACAAATGTTTCACATATTATTTTTTTCTACAAGCTATTTTAAAACTACTGGCTTTCATGAAGCATTAACCCTGAAAACTTCATTTGGCTAGTGCTGGGGCATCATGTTGAAAAATTTACATAAATAGTCTAAGTACAAAAATCCCTGATGTTATAAAGCCTAGAACTATTTTAAAAATGTTAGTTACCGAAAAAGTTACGAAGTGCAGCTGTCTGCAGTTCTTATAAAGTAAGTGATTAAAGTTTAGAAGAGGATAGCTAAAAAAACATTATGTCTCACTCTTGCACTGCTGTGGTTGGCTGATAATGTGGTTTATTGCTGTTTTTTTGCTGTTTTCTGCAACTCAATGTTTAAGTGCGTATATTGCGTGTCGACAGGAATAATGAATTTATTCAAGCCATGAGATCTCACCAAAGAAATTAAACAGTCAATTGTTGTTGCAAGCAACTTCTGGGGTGATCCTGGCATCGTATAGGCTATACCATAGGTGTTACAGATAGTCCCCTGTGTGGGGCGTGTATGGGGGAGGAAGAAACAGTGGCCCATGTGTTGCTGAACGTGTCCGGAAGTCACTGCATACAGGGCTAAACATCTCGGCACGCTGGGATCACTCCCTGAAGTTCCTTGCAGCATCCAAGGACTGTTGAACTACTTCAGGGAGATTTCATGGCTCGAATAAATAGATTATTCCTGCCCACACGCAAAATACGCGCTTAGACGTTTAGTTGTGGAAAACAGCCCGTTGAATATTAACAAACTTTTGGTACTTGGACTATTTAAGTAAATTTTTCAACATGATGCCCCAGCACTAGCCAAATGAAATTTTCATGGTTAATTCTTCATGAAAGCCAGTAATTTCTAAGATGGGTTGTAGAAAAATAATATGTGAAATATTTGTTTTAGAACAATAGAAGGTAAATGCAAACATTAGAAAGAATATTACTATAATTTTTTATTTGGATTTTTATATATCTAAGCCTCTGTTTGGTGTAAAGGTACAAAAGATCCTCTGTTTATCTTGTTTAAAAAAAATCACAGACGCAAACCTAATAGTTCGGTTGCAATTGCAAAGTTTAGGCTAAAATCAGATTTTGACAAAATTTTTACTAAAGTCCAAATAACTTTTAAGCCACTGAATATCACTTTACATACAGGGGGGTTAAATCGATTGGTATTGAGGTCCTCCACCCCCCAGCCACTGATGATCCACCCCTCAAGTTACACTGTGTAAATAATCCTTAAATTTAAATTACAAAAAGGTAGATCAAATGTTTCAATTACTGATACAAGTATGTTTATTATTTATACATTTTAATTAGCACATGAATAACTATTTATAAAGTTTTGGTGTCTGTCCAGCCTAATCTTCAGAATAGCTGAACTAATTGTTATGAAACTTTACAAGCAGATAGAGAGCAATGTCAGGAGCAATCTAGGCTGTATTTTATCTGAAGAACTAATATTTTTTTGAAAATAGAAAAATTGCTAAAATAAGTGGTAGTGGTGGTATTTGATTATCTTAAATAATCTACATAAAGTCACATTAATAGATCCTACCTCGAAACAGAGGTATATAGATATATATATATATATATATATATATATATATATATATATATATATATATATATATATATATATATATAGGTAGGTAATATGTTAACACAAAAACCAAATACTGAATATGCTCACCATATGATTCTCTTACTCCAATTACAAGTTGTGAGTCAAAAGATTCTCCATTACGCTCTGCTTGCACAAGCTTCATAGCAGAATCTTGTAACCTTTGTTTAATATCTACAAAAATACTTTGATTCCATGAATCTAACATCAATTTGCGTACCAAACTATCCTCGATGTTGTTATTATTGTTCTTTTTCTGTGCATTAGATGTATTTGAACTTGCTACTTTGCTTATATTATTAATGGAATTTTCTAATTGGCGAAATGGTGTAGGCAGATAGTTACACTGTGTGAAGAATTTTCCCCATTCTGCTATATACGCTTTAAGAAGAGCTTGATCTTCACGTTGTGCGAGTACTCGAGCCTGAGCTTGCTTAATATACATCATTATATCTTGTTGTAGAGCATCTCGTAAATTGTAAGGACCTCTTTCATCCCATAAGCATACAGAATGTACTGCCCCAAAGAGATCTTGCCATTCGATTTGAGTTACCGGCTCTTGTTTCAAAAGCTTCAAAACTATAGGTCGCATAGAGGGCCATTTATCTTCGAAGGTGACTTGCCCTTTATCCTGAAAATAACCAATGTTAACATTACATGTACATAATAAGGATAATTACAATTAGTAGTGCAATTACCTTTAACATGACTTAATTTGAATAATGTTTATTATTCAGAATCAGATTACAAAAATAATAACTGTATCTGTATTATTCTTTTTTTAATGTAATCCGCATAGTGATGGGTCAACTTCTCTAGTATATACAGTAATAATCTATGGGTCAACTCAATTTACAAGTTCGAGCCACAGACTAATATGATGCTTACGAGCATACGAGCTAACTCAAAATACTCACTAACTCGAGTTAGGCCTGGCAGTAATTGAACGAAACAAAAACATGCGAGCAAGCGAGGGCAGAATTCGAGCGTATATAGCAGAATGGGGAAAATTCCTCACACAGTGTAACTATCTGCCTACACTATTTCGCCAATTAGAAAATTCGCCCGCGTGTTATTTGGGGTTTTAATTTTTTTGTGTTTTTATTATTAAATAATACCAATAAATTGATTAAGTATAATTTGTGATAGTTAAATTATTAATAACATAAATACCTACGTCATAAAGTTAAAGTGATGTTATAATATAATTATTAGGTTTAGTAATAATAATTTTCCTAAAACATGCGCTAGCATCGTATTATTCTGTGCCCAACACGGAGTTCCATGGAAGAATAAATCTATACAAATAAATAAAATTGAAGTGTCTGTATGTAATGTCAAAATTACAGCTTTTTATTAAATGCATATGATAGTATATACGGTACTAATAACAAAAATACAGTTTTTAAAGTTTTTGTCTGTCTGACTGTTTGTTCCGGCTAATCTCCGAAACGGCTAAACCGATTTTGACGGGATTTTCACTGGCAGATAGCTGATGTCACAAGGAATAATTAAGGCTACTTTTATTTTAGAAAAAGAATTAGGGTTCCGCCCAAAAAAATTGAAACCCCAAATAACACGCGGGCGAAGTCGCGGGGAACAGCTAGTATATAAATAATTTGTAACAAATTAACACAGCTTCGTTCCGCCGATTCAAGTTGAGTCACTAGAGTTCAATTCTAGTTACGTGAATTAAAACTCGAGTTAACTCGAGACGAGTTTCTTCCGAGTTGGCACATCTCTAACTCCACAGAATAATAAATATGTAGTAAGCTCATATAATAATTAGAGTATTATGCTAATGTCTATTATTTATTCTGTGGGCTAATGTACTCCTAGCTAAGGTACCTGAACCTGAATCTAACCCCACTTGTTTTTTTTTAATTAATTGTTCGTGGTATGGTCGTTATTTTTCGAGCATAAAAATGGTTTGTTCGTCTTTTAATTATTTATAATTAATTAAACAAATTTCATTCTTAGGTTGGCCACCCTTATCGTAAATTTTAACTTTTATCCCTTAAATTTATTAATTTTTACTATAAATATCGCAATAAATATCGTCTCTTTGTTACTCTCATCATAGGGGAGTATTTGCCATAGTTGCCACGCTTGGCGGGCGGGTTGGTAACCGCAGTTTTTTTTATTTTAATTTTGCTGTTATCAGGAAGATGCTGCTGCCCATCTCCTGCCTGTTTCCCTTTGTCGCCTTTTACGAAACCCACGGGAAGATATGGGGTGGTAGATATTCTTAACCACCACTACACGGCATTATTAATTCCACTACAGCATAAATTAATTCATAATTTTAATTAACCCCAGTCCCCGACGGCCCCCCTATTTCAGGCTACGGTGGCGACCATGGTAACGGCGGGGCAGGGGGTGCTAAGAATCTCCGGTGGAGGTTCGGTTGTCACCTACAACGACTCGACCTAGCGACTTATAACGCACGCACCCTGAGGGCTGACGAGAAGATCCTGGAGCTGGAAGAAGAGATAGACAAGTTGCGCTTGAATATCATAGGATTATCCGAGGCCCGAAGAGAGGGGGAGGACACGGTAATCCTCGAATCCGGCAACTTGTTCTATCACCGGAAGGGCGACCATCTGTCCTAAGGAGGTGTCGGATTTATCGTCCACAAGTCTCTCGTTAACAACGTTGTAAAGATTGAGAATGTGTCGACGAGATTTGCGTACCTTATACTCAGAATCACCAAACGGTATTCGCTGAAGGTCATACAGGTTTACGCACCAACCTCGGCACGCCCCGATCAGGAGGTGGAGGAAATGTATGAGAATATCTCTAAAGCCATGCATTCCTCCAAAACCCACTATACGGTGTTAATGGGAGACTTCAATGCAAAACTAGGCACGAGAGAGAACGGTCAGCTGAAAGTAAGGAAATTCTGAATAGGGCAACGGAACCCAAGGGGCCAGCAGCTGGCCGACTTCATGGAGAAAGAGGGACTCTTTATGATGAACTCTTTCTTCCAGAAGCGGCCCCACAGGAAGTGGACCTGGTCGAGCCCCGACGGTTCGACAAAAATGAGATTGCGAGGGTGAAAACTGGTAGCGATCACCGAATGGTTAGAAGCACACTGAACCTAAACGTTAAATTGGAGAGGTCTCGTCTAATGAAGTCAACGCTCCGTCCCCCTCTTGCTCTGTTCCAAAGTCCCTAAACCTTTCAGTTCGAGTTACAAAACCGTTTTAACCGTCAGTGCCTAGAAGACTGCAATATCTGCTAAAAAAAAACTGTCGTAGCTAAGTTCTGCAAGACCCACCGCAGAAGAACATAAAAACTCTCCAATCACACTCTTAATTTCATGGCTGTTAGACGGGAGATGAAGCTACATTCTTCAACAGATTTGTCAGCATACAGACAACTGAACAGACAGATCTCCAAATGCATGCGGCGGGACTTACGCAACTTCAATACAGCTTGTATTGAAGAAGCGATCGAGCGGAACCAAGGCTCCAAAGACTTTGCCAGAGATCTGTCTGCCAGAAAGAGCCAACTGTCGAAGCTGAAGACCGCATGTGGCAGCATCGTTTCCGGGACACCTGAGATTTTGAGTGAAATTTAGAGGTTCTATGGGCAGCTGTACACGTCATCGTTGGAGCCACACGCAAGTATGAGTAACGATCCAAAAGCGAGTCTTATCCGATACTATTCCGAAGATATCCCGGATGTTAGCCAGATCGAGATTAGAATGGCTCTCCAGCACCTTAAGAACGGAAAGTGTGTGTGTGTGTGTGTGCGTGCGTGCGTGCGTGCGTGCGTGCGTGCGTGCGTGCGTGCGTGCGGGCGGGCGGGCGTGCATGCGTGCGTGCTTGCGCGCGTGGGCACGTGCGCGCGAGTGCGTGTGCGTGTGAGTGTGCGTGTGCGTGTGCGTCTGCGTGTGCGTGTGCGTGTGTGTGTGTGTGTGCGTGTGCGTGTGCGTGTCGTGTGCGTGCGCGTGTGCGTGCGCGTGTGTTGTGCGTGTGCGTGTACGTGTGCGTGCGCGAGTGCGTGTGCGTGTGAGTGTGCGTGTGCGTGTGCGTCTGCGTGTGCGTGTGCGTGTGTGTGTGTGTGTGCGTGTGCGTGTGCGTGTCGTGTGCGTGCGCGTGTGCGTGCGCGTGTGCGTGTGCGTGTGCGTGTACGTGTACGTGTGCGTGTGCGGGTTCGTGTGCGTGTGCGTGTGCGTGTGTGTGTCTGTGTGTGTGTGTGTGTATAAAATATGTATCTTTGTGAATTATATATTATAGTGTGGAATATTACACATATTGGTTTGTTGGTTTGTTAACCCTACGACTGTGTCTTGGGATCGGAAGTTATCATTGTTCAATGAATAACTTTCTGTAACTGTCACCAAAAGTTGCATAGCACTCAGTTGCGCTTATGGGTGATGAATGACACTCTCAATTTCTTCATAGTTTTTTGTGATTAACCATTTCACCACCATCTTTTTTTCGACCTCTCTTCACTTTAGTTGGCAACTCCTCGGAATGAAAAACCCAGACAGCGGCCTGTCTCTTAGTTTCAGGATCATAACAATAAATCCAGCTTTCTTCACCCGTAAGTATGTCGAACACAGCATTTGAGTCACCTCCGTTAAATCTTTTCACGAACCATTTCACGACACCAATCAACACAACAGAGTTTTGGGCCTATGTCAAATTATGAGGTATCCACCGGGTACACAGCTTCCTGGCCGCTAAATGTTCATGGAGGATTTTGTACACTTGACTCATACCGATGCCTAAGCTTGTCTGAATCTGCTGATAAGTCAGCAGATTCTATAACAGTATGTCATTACTCACCAGATCAAAAGCCTTCCTAAAATCGAAATAGGCGGCTTCTACGGTCTACCTGTCTCTTAGAATCCATCTCTGTACAGACATAGTCCACGTGTGCTATAAAGTTAGTATTTGTTGAGCGATTCTTTCGAAACCCATGTAGACTGTTATGCAAAATGTGTCTAAGGGACAGATTAAAAATGAACAAGAGTGGTGAACTAAGAGCTGGCGCACAATCCATGACCAGAAAAGCAGGAATGCGATGATGGCCACCAGCAGATCGTGGCTATAGGCGTTTTATTTATTACCAATCTAAAATCACTGTCGTCTACTCGCTGACTGTGATGGGCATTACGTTAACTTGTGAATTAGCCGCATTTTCGGTACCTATCTACATAATTTAATAGGATGAAATACTGAGCAAAAATATTCAGCACAGGAATTAGCCCCATCTTGACCTGATACTTCTTTACCCTTATAGTTATACGTTTCAGTGTGACGTTTTTCTTTCTTTTTATCACTAACATTATTCCAAAAAATACCGTATCGTCAATTATGCTTCTCTGTATCAACTTAATGTGCTGCTCATATGCGTTCTAAATTGAGATTTTTAACCCTCCATCGATAAAAGTTAAACAGTTCTTTATTAAATAATTTAACTTCTTGCTTAAATCTCTACAGATGAATGTATGTATTTATTTTTTAATGTTTTCTATGATCTCAGGCGTGAAACGTTTGGCATAGATATACTGGCGATGATTTGGAAAATGCTTGTTATTTGGTACATGTAAGTTAATAATTTCTTTCAATTAGTTATTAAAAAAAATCTACGGCCGAATTTACGTCTATAGAATTCATTAAATCGGACCAATCTAATCCAGCTAATGCAACATATAAACCTTGAAAGTCGGGGTCGCATCCGAACTCTCATCTGGCGAAGACCGCAGCCTAGGCAAGAAGTCCCCGTATGAGAGGTTGATTTTGACATCCAACAAAGGGTACTCATCTATTGG